GAGAAAGGACTAATTCAACAAGTTTTAAGATAAAATATTCAAAGGACTAGCATGGTGATGCTAAACCATTAATTTGTCCACTTTTTGACAAGAAATAAGACTAAGATAGAGATACCCACAGTCACACTGATTTTTTCCAACCAGGGGTATTGATGGCATTTGTGGGATTCAGTGCCATTGTCATGATCTCTGTAAGTGTAAACTCCACATAATGCAACACTGATGCCCTCATCTGTTCAAGCAAGGAGAACTTTACTCACAATTTGTAGTGTCCCAACTTTTTTGGAATTGGGTTTGTATATTTTTTTTAGCATCAAGAACAAAAAGCACTTGAACAAATTCACTCCTAACTAACAAGCATAAATATTATATTTTTTTATTATAATGTTTTACTTTTAATTCCAAATCAATATCTAAATAAACACCAGTATCATCAATACCATCCGTGAGCATGATATGTTGGGTCTGCTGGAATTCCTTTTTATTCTCCATCTGCTCTATTTTCATACTCTCTAAAATCCTCTCATTGGCCTGGACGATATTAGTTTCTGATCGATCACCTTTACCTGTTTGTCACAAAAATATTAGAATATTAAAATATGTCTTTAAAGACCATGTCCATGTTTTTAAACATTTTACTCTCAGCCTGACCAACACCAAACAAATTCATTTACATTCTTGCTGTAAGAATGACCCTTAAATCTGATTTAAATAAGATCTAAACAATACTTTCTGTCATATTCATAATCCTCCAATCTTTCTAAGAATTTCTAACGGGTCATTTTTTTTGCCTCTTGAAGTCCCTCTTGAAGACTATCCATGTAACGTCTGTGGCAAAAATTTAGGATCTCATAGTTTGGAGAGACCTGGTAATAACTGATCTGTCGGTAATGAACATAAGTCAAATTTTCATTAGGAATATGACACATTACATTAAGAGAAGTTTAAAAAAAATGTGTGTGTGTGTGTGAGATTCTAATGGGACACATAATAATAGTGTATTATTCGTGGGACATAATTAGGCAGAAATATAAAAGAGTAGCTACCTAAGGAAAAGATAGCTAAAAGGGATCAGTCAGTTGTAAGGGTGTGACAGCATTATCAACATACTATTTATTTCATGTACATTTTCTATAAGTGTTTTAATTACATCTTTTCAAAGTCCTCTTCTTCTATGCTGTCAGATGTGAAAAAAAGAAAGTGAAGTGAATTTGTGCTCTGCATTTAACCCATCCAAGTGCACACACACAGTAGCGAACACACACACACCATGAACCCACACCCAGAGCAGTGGGTAGCCATATTGCTGCGCTGCCCGGGGAGCTTTATATTGAACATGTGGCCTGTTCTTGTACAGCCAGCAGGAATCCCAGGATCAGGACAGAGATCAGCTGTTTGTAAAAAGGAACAGACAACAAAAAGAATGAGAAATTTAGAAATTATCAATAGTGAATTGTGACTAAATCATTACTTATTCTTCTAAAAGGGCTGAAGTAGTTTATTTAATCTGTAGAGTAATCATGATCCAAGAAACTTTTTTATTTCACTATACCAAAGACTATATAAAGGACTTTGACTATACAGCATAGAGAAAATGAAAGTGATGTGTGGCCAAGTATGTTGTCCTATACTCAGAATTTGTGCTCTGCATTTAACAGATCCAAGTGCACACACGCAGCAGTGAGTAGTGAACACACACACACACACTGTGAACACACACCGGAGCAATGGGCAGCCATTTTTGCTGTGGCACCCGGGGAGCAGTTGGGGGTTCGGTGCCTTCTCAAGGGTCTCAACTCAGTCATAGTATTGAGGGTGGAAGAGAGCGCTGTACATTCACTCCCCCCACCTCCAATCCCTGCCGGTACCAAGACTCAAACCCTTGGCTCTCTAACCATTAGGCCACGACTGCCCCACTTCCCACTCACAGTTTCTGTTGTGCCTCCACTCCATTTCATATTCGCCTGGCAAACACAAGTTCCCGAGCCACGGAAGTCAGCATGACATGAGTAGTGGGTTGTGTCATTCACAAAATGCTGTCTCTGATTTGGATACTTCTCTCCATTTTCAAAACCACGAGGATCAGGACATGTGATTTCTGAGATAAAGGATTTTGTGTGTGTGTGTGTGTGTGTGTGAGTAACCTTGAAATCTCAGATGGAAAATGTGTTGTGTTTTCAATTATGAATAAGTGTAAGATCATGTTTGTCTGATCATTTTTTGCGTACTGTTGCAGTCTGAGGGTTTTAATTTGGGAAACGGGTTCGACGGATTCTAACGGTTGGGTAATAGCCTTCTGAACAGCTGTATCTTACAATGCTCCCATCTTTTGAGAAAGCAAAACTCCCTCCACTAATTCTGAGATTCTTATCAGGGCATGAAATAGAGGATGGTGCACCTACAAGAAATATCAGAGGGCCAGATGAAAAAATGGTGTTGCAAGAGTGCACTGTTAAGAACACATAATGTTGTAACGTAAACTCATTATCAAAATAAAGGTTCCAAAAGTGGTTAACAATGATGGCATAGAACAGTGTTTCTCAACCCTGGTCCTGAGCTTCCCCAACACTGCACATTTTGTATGTCTCCCTTTTCTGACACACCCATTTCAGGTCCTGGAGTTTCTTTTAATGAGCTAATGAGTTGAATCAGGTGTGATTGATTAGGGAGACACACAAAATGTGCAGTGCTGGGGGGCGCCCAGGACCAGGGTTGAGATACACTGCCATGGAAGAACCATTTTGGGTTCCTTAAATAAGGCCACATATTTATAGAGCAAGGTAAACAAGAGAAAGTGACTATGGACATGAGCTAATCTGTCAAATACTTTATCAAGGTAAAACTTGATTTTCCTCATGCATGGATTCTTTAAATGATTGACCTTAAAATTATCTTAAAACTGATTCTGAGAAATTCTTTATTTTTCCTTAAACTACAGAAGCAGGATGAGCCAATGGGTGTTGGCTGAAATTTGGTAGCGTGCTGTAGGGAAATTGCATTCATAGGCCAATAGGTCAACTTAAATGAGTGCTGCAATCATCTTTACCCCCAAATTTCCATACAGTACTTCTCCTTGTGATGTTTCTATTTTCTGTCATAAAGAATCATCAAGTCATTGGAAATGGTAAAATAAGATTTAAAAGAGCATTTGAAATGTAATGCAGTATGCTGTAGGAGGATGAAGACAGTGTTTGACAGACATTGACAATGGATGAAATGAGGTAAAGGAATGCAACACCCTCACATGTTTGCTCCGAAGAAAATTGCACAGAATCCAGCCTAACAAGTGTGTTTGGAATTCATGTTAACATGACAATGGTTCTTGTCTGACCATTGCGCTCATTTTTCATGTATGATGTAATCTTCATATTCTATATTATACTTCAGCCCTAAAACAGCAGATTTAGTGACATACTGTCAGGCTTTTTGTTCTTGCTATTATCATTCTCAAGACAGATGGAAATAAGTTGTGAAATCGCAACAATAATGAAACTCCCCTGCCTGCCAGTGGTTGGATATACAGTACAGACTGTCTCACACCAACATTGACATAACAAAGACATAACATTGAATGAGTAAAACATGAAAGACTGTTGATAATAGATGTTTATTATTTTTATCAAAGACCAGCTATTTGACTTCAAGTTCAGTATTCATCAGAAAATAAATCAGTGTTTTATCAGACTGCACTCACACAGTTTCAGTCTGCTAAAGCATTCACAAGAATTTAAGAGGTTGTCCTATGCGGTCATTTTCTAGGTGTTCTTTAAGGAATGAGCGTATCTTCTCACTGAAAAGATTTGAATGGTAATCTCTGGAGTCTGCATCCGAAGTGAAGCTCCTTTTTTCCTTGCAGACGTCCTTCACTCCCCAGCTTAAGATACCAACCTATCAAAGATTTTACAGATATTTAAAAAGGTCCTAGTTCTCAGCTTCTCTCAAATGAGTCTTTGATTTCACTCTGTAATATGTAACACATTGTACATGAGATTTTACAGCCACATCATCAATACTGTTTTCATAAGGAAATCTCACCTGAATCACTCGACCTTTTTTATTCACATAAGTGGCCCCACCTGAGTCTCCTGTTACAAAATAACATGCAACACAAGAAACTATATAAAAATTGTATAAATTCATTTTAGATCTCTAATGATTAAAATGTTATCAATAAATACAGTAGATTAGAACCAAATGCAAGCTGTCACTTTGATGGCAAAAATCAAACATACCTTTGCAGGCAACATCATCTGTTTTTGGTTCATTACCACCACTGCACAGAAAATTGTCTGTAACTGCTTCCCTGGCATTTTTCACATTGATTCCTTTTGCTTTTTTTGCATCTTCAACACAAGCATCCCGCTAAAGAAAAAGTACACCAAGAAGTGTTCTTAGCTTGTTGATGATGACTGAAATATGTTTTTTTTTAAATCCATAATAGATTCCCATTATTTTTCTGTTGAATATTGCACCTATTTAATGTTGAATACCAAAACGATGGTTGTGCAGAAATTCATGACACTTTAAAGGCCCCATGAAATCAAAAGTAAAGTTTTGTTGCTTTTAGCTGATTTATATGTTAATGTAATTCTAAATGTTGACAAAATTGGAGAACGCCTGAATTCAAGAACATTTTACTTCATAACACTATAAAGGAGATCTGACATCTCAAATGGATGGACAGCCTCTGCATTAATATATCAACTTAAGCTTTTCAAACTACACAGATTGAAAAGTTTAGAAATGAGAAAAATCATTACATATTTTCCAAGCTTGATTGTGATGTGTTTTATGTTTTTTGGACTATTATCAGTATCCATTTCAGACGTGAAAGCAGCTTCCACAAGCTCGTTGCTCATTAGAATTTCCTCTGTAACAAATGCAAAGAGAAAAAAGTTTGACATTTTATGTTTGGTAAGTTTCATTGTATAAAAGCAATCACATGTTTGATATAGTTTATGTTTCATATTTCTGATATGGTTCTTATATGTATACAGCACCATGTTTTCTGCAAGTCCCTTGACTATCTGAAAGTTTCAGAGCTCCATTTGTTTCTCTAGTGCATGGGATGCAGATTGGTCTGTAGAGAAATACACATTATGTTATTTAATTAGTTCAGCTTTTTTTCTTCTTCTTTTTTCATATTCTCACTAAAGTAGCATCACATGTTGAAGATCTGTGCTCCTCACCGTAGATTAAAACTCATCTCAACAGCTGTAACCAGCTGTATAAGAGCTACATCAAATTCGTAATATTCCTGTATTCCCATATGCTGTTTTGCTGTGGGGTTATATTCAGGATGAAGTGTGAAATGTTTCACTTTTACAACTGCAAAAGGAAATGTAAACGTCATTAATAAGATTTACCCTGTGACACGTTTTACTTCAGTCTGAAAATATGGATGTATCAGGACATACTCAGGTCTTTTTCCAGTTGAACTATTATCCTATCAGGTGTGTCTCCCTCTTTGAAGCAGGAAGCCGCTGTCAAGATGTAACTTGAGGAAACTAATGACCCCATGCAATTGGAACCTTTTGAAGAAGTATGCTACACGAAGAGCAGAGAAGACTGATGTTCATAAGGTACAACTCTTTAGCCATAACGTGCATGTTTCTTCTTGTGGGAGAAAATGTTTCCTTTAACTTCATCGAGTTCTATAATAAAATGATAAAAAGGTTATGCTCACTTGAATATTAATCTGTGCCAACCAGGGAAATGCACGGCGTTTATTTTGCAAGCCTTCCCACACAATCCCACACAATCCTACACTGGTGCTCTCATCTGTGTAAAGAAGCAGGTATAAAGTGTTAATAATAATAATAACAACAGCAATTAACACTGAGTAAATTATAAAGAATTATTCCAAGAGGTTAGGAACTGTGAAACTGATTCATCCAAACAATAGTGTTATTGCAACTGTGCGTTTTTTTTTAGAGCATAACAGTCATTTCTCGTTTGTGTTCCACAGAAAAGATGAACATGAAGGTGATTAAGTAATTACAGAAATTTCACTTTTGGGTGAAGTACAGTTGCAGTACCAATCATGTCGTTAAACATCTCCTGCACCTCTGTCAAGTCTTTAAGCTTAAAGAAATATTTTTCTTGGTCCCTCTGTGACACTAAGCCATTTATGTCTTCTTGATTCACGTCATCTCCAATTCCAAATACATAAAGATCTGGAAAGAGAGGACACATCCAAATCAATATGAAATCAATGATAAAGACTTTTAAACAAATATGTGTGTTTGTTTTTTGTTGTTGTTGCTGTTGCTGTCCCTGATGATGCTGCTTGTTAATGAAACACACATTTATAAATAAAAAAATACTTATAGTACAAATATTTTTATTTAAAATATAACTATGATTAATACATTTCATACTCACCAAGATTCTTCTCTCGCATTGGATCATTTTTGGTGAAAAGATATTTGATCTGGTTCACTTTACGTTTGGGATTCCCCCCCATGTTTGCCTGACCTATGAAGTAAGATGAGATAAATTACAGTGAATATTTGCTTCAAGTTTGATCTCTATTCTAATTTGTAATACAATGTATGAGTATTTTATATATATATTAATTTATTTGTTCTGATAAAGAACTTAAACTGATTAAGTGTAAAATAATTTTTAAGCATTGTATTTAAAAATTATTAAATTGTACGTAAATACTGAAAAGTCAATACCATCAGTGAACAGTATGACGATGTGTTGGGTCTCACTGAAAGTCGTTGCATTGTTGAGCTCCTCTATTTTCATGCTGTCTAAAATGGTTGAATAGGCTTTGGCGATATTGGTACCTGTTTTATCACCTCTATCTGTTTTTTCACACCAGAATATTACAGTCAGCAGAGAAACATTCTGATTGAAACAACTGACTAAATCCAAATTAAAATTATTCAAAATTACAACATGAATTGGGATTTTTTTTTTTAAAGAATGTAAGATTTGTTTTATTTTCACTATTAAATTGGACAGCGATGTGTATATTTACAACAATAAATGTATTATCCTCAAGTTAGACTTAAAAAGTACTATTTTTGCATAATACATTACTCTGTAATAATAATCTCTAAAAAAATCGAATTATATCCATGTATACAATTACACTCAAAAAGAGACATTCAATTAGAATACTTACTCTCATAATTACAGTCGTCCAGCGCTTTAAAAATATTCATTAGGTTTCTTGCATCTTCATTATTTTTGAACTCCCTCATAGTGATTATCGGCGTAACGTCCGTGGCAAATATCAGGATCTCATAGTTTGGGGAGACCGAGTAATAACTAATCTTTTGGGGAAAGTGCATTGAGAATTAAAAGTTGAAAGCAACATCTGTCTGTTATACGATCAAAATGTTGGATTTCAGTGAAGTTCATGTTTCCATTATGTGAAACCGGATTTTCAGATGCAGCAAGTATGCAGTGGATTGTGGGAGACTACGCCCTCCTAAAACACACTAATGCTCAAATTGGAGGGTTCTGACAATGACGAGGAGGTTAAAAATCAAGTTCAGTCTTGAGAGCATCTCAGTGTATCACAATGGTAATTCTTCCTTTTCAAATATAGGTATTTTATTACAGAACATTTTAAGAAAGGATGCATAACCTACATCAGTAGCCTAAAAACAATGCTTAAATAAGTGGTCTTACAACTTCACTACAGTAACCTCTGACGATTTGACAATCAACATACCTTGTCTATAAGCATTTTGATGGTGGTTTTTGCATTTTCAAAATCCTTCACATCTATGCTGCCAGATGCATCCACAGCAATGTAAATATCAAGTTTTCTACTCTGATCCATAGTTATTTTCTTCCCCTGCTGATCTGAAAGCAGAAGGAACATGGTATTCATGTTTAACTGTGCTGATGTGATTTTGTCTCTTCTTCTGAGCATGGCAATTATTAATGAAGATTTTTAAAAGGTGTGTGTGTGTGTGTTTATGCTCTAAGTCACACAAAGGTACCTCCTTTTTCATAGTGTTGAGAAACTGCTAGACTTGACTTTAGAGAAGTGCTGAAAGCTTCTGATGCTTCCTCTGGGGTGTCGTATGTGAAATCAGCTGTACAGTATTTACACAACAACAACATTAATCAGAAAAGCCCATTTAAGTAAGCTAAATTTTATGGCCAGCAACCCCTTTACACACGATTTTGACATTTTGATGTAGCTATAAGGAGACTCACCGTAACATTGTGGCTCTGTTCCTGACCACTGGCCTCCATCCAGACACACTCGCACTTTGGAACCAATCAAGGTCAATGGACTCTCACAGCGGTACGTGACTTTGTTGTCTATGTTAAAAATGTTCCCTGTACGACTGCTACCAGGGGGAACACCAGGATCAGGACAGTGATCAGCTGTGAGACAGTAATAAACAGACAAACGGATGTGAAGATCTGTGGACCTACGTTTGAAAACTAGTTCATGGAAACTGCTGTGTGTTTATATACTGTATTTACAAAGTAATAGCGATTACTTACAGTCACATTCACAAATTGGTGTGCTTCCACTCCACTTCCCATTAGGCTTGCAAACACGGACCTCTGAGCCACGGAATGTACAATCGGAATGACATGAGTAGGTGGTTGTGTCATTTACATAGTACTTTTCTTTATATGGAATCACCTCTCCATTCTCGAAAACACGGGGATTGGGACATTTGATCTCTAGGATTAATGCACGTACAGTAGAAGAGTATAATACAAAGAAATAAGTCCAGCATTTATTCATGATATAATCATACAAATAATGCCTTGTTTCTTACTTATGCACTCTGGGGTTTTTCTGATTTTGGTCTTTGAGGTCCAGTTTCCATCTTGACACAGACGTGACTGAACCGACGGGTAATATCCATTCGGACAGATGTATTTTAGAAGACTCCCATGTGAATAGCCTTTAGAAAGAACAAAGATTCCTCCAGTAATGTTTAGATTCTCTTTGGGACACGAATTGTCTCGTTTGGACATGGAGGACGGAGCACCTGTAGCAGAAACAGCCAGATTATTGGAGGAGGTCATGAAAAATATGATGGAAGTAACTTTTGTCAATTGTTGTGGTTTTATTTGCATTAAAAACCCATTTGATACAAGCCAAAATATTTTTGTCTGTATATTTCAGAATGCATTATAAGCAAAAAGACGTATACCTGCAATAAGAGGACATATCGTTGTAAGCAGTAACCATTTCAACCGCTGCTTACACTCCATGCTGTTTATTCCACGTTGAGCTGAGATTAAGAAGCAAATGAACAGGGGGACATTTTTATAGTGGAGTCAGCAGGAGGTTTTTATTTACATTCAGTGGTCAATGTTTAACTTCAAGTCAAATAAAAAACATGAATTTCCCGGCACACACAACAAAATAATTACCATTAGCCATTGACCATTATATATTTAATAATCATAAAAAAGGTAATTATGGTTTTTGTCTGTATATTTCAGAATGCATTATAAGCAAAAAGACGTATACCTGCAATAAGAGGACATATCGTTGTAAGCAGTAACCATTTCAACCGCTGCTTACACTCCATGCTGTTTATTCCACGTTGAGCTGAGATTAAGAAGCAAATGAACAGGGGGACATTTTTATAGTGGAGTCAGCAGGAGGTTTTTATTTACATTCAGTGGTCAATGTTTAACTTCAAGTCAAATAAAAAACATGAATTTCCCGGCACACACAACAAAATAATGACCATTAGCCATTGACCATTATATATTTAATAATCATAAAAAAGGTAATTATGTTCATCTAAAATTGTCATGGACTCTATTTTCATTTTGACATCAAAATATAGATGCAGAAAACCAAGATTTGTTAGGAGAATACTGAGACGGAATATTTTTAAGGGTTAAAGACCACAATAATTTGATCTTTGGTCCAGAGAGAAACTCAAACTCAAGGGGTCATTTGAGAACAATTTTTTTACTATATCAGGAACGTTCATCCTCCTTGCCTTACACATTAACACAAGCTTGGGTGAATATTTATTGATATTTTCATAGCATATTATCAAAGCACTGAAGGGCATGTTTGCTACAGGGGAAGATAAATTACTAAAGCACTGTTGTCATGTAGACCTACTGAATGACAAACTGGTGCAAAATGCTCATTTTCATTTTAGATTTATCCGGTTCAAAGTAGACAATCTTTATGCAAATTATAAAAAGGTTTTGTGAAACTTCAGCAGTACACACACCATTCTGTGTAAAAATAGTTTAGCAGGTAAAATAGAATATATGGGGTGTTAGGTTTCAGTACAGAAACCTGGTCTTTTGAGGCATTTATAATATTAAAAAACAGCCTACCGTAAGTGTCACAGATTAGGTTCATTACCTGCTTTTAGAAATGTGTGAAAAATAACAGCTTGTCTTTTCAGAACTTCTTTTGCTTGTCATGTTTCCTGAGTCGTGTGATGTATGTTTCACTCCATTAATCTGAGTCACAGCGAGCTACCTTTTCAAGTAAGCGAATATTGACAATATCTGCAATATTAAATTGAGCACCATTGTGCTTTTAAAAGTGTTGACTTTGTTAATATTGTGCAATGTTATGTCTATTATATGTCAGAAATGTGTCCTATACCCAGCAATAGCCATCATGTTTCAAATGACTACTTTTTTTTTCTTTTTTTGACAACGGATTTGAAAGTGAAGCATGTAAAAAGCTGAATGAGCTCAAACAGGATCCCACCGAGGAGAAGTCAACTGTGCCACAGGTCTTCAAAAAGGTATAGCGAACGTATTTTCTGTTTATAAACGCACCATTAGGAAAAATTCACTGGATGTATTTTAAAAGAATTAGTAGGTGCATAGCTTGATTTATTTATTTATTTTTTAATAGATATGGGTGATGGCTTTATGTGTGACATGTGTGTTTGCCATCACACTCTCCAGTTTTTCCAGCAATTACTATAAATACAAAACCTTCTGGCTTATTTGACGGGAAAGGTGAGTCTGTACAAGATGTCTAGCTCATGCGTTATGCTTGTCAAAGCACTGTGATTTACATAACTTTTCATCTTATAGATAACATCTTCGTACCTTTGTGTTCATTCATTGTCTTCAATGTGATGGACTGGATTGGCAGAAGTCTCACTTCTCGTCTTCAGTGGGTGAGTTTTCGTAGGAGCCTGTATCAACAAAATGCAATGCCTAACTATGGAAATTATTGTTGATCTAACATATCTTTTTTCTTTTCCCAAACTCCCAGCCTTCGATGAAGTGTCATTTATTCCCTCTTTTTGTGGTATTACGGGTAGTTTTCATTCCTGCCCTCATGCTCTGCAACATTCAGCCTCGCTTCTATCTCCCAGTCTTTTTCAATCATGACATGGCTTATATCAGCATCATGTCTTTGTTTGCCATGACGAATGGGTATTTTGCTTGCCTTTCCATGAGCTATGCTCCACAGTAAGTTCTTTTAAAAGAATTCTTTGGGAAAGATCCCACAAGCTGACACTTCTATTATCTCACTATCCCATTATCCCCTGTAATAGAAAAATGTATTATTGATTAATTATAATCTGATTGATCTGATTAAATGATATGATAATGATGTGATTAAATTGATGAATCCTATATTCTGTATTCATGTCTGAGCATGATGAAGATGTTAGAACAGTTACTTCATGTTCTTGATATCTGGTGGCGTGATGTTTTTCAGTAACTTGTGAGCATATGATTGGTGAAGAGCAGAGGCCCAGGGTATACAGTTATCTTTCAATGTTACTTTGGGGTATAAAATGATGTTAGCAGGGACCTCTCTTTATCTCCTTTGCACTCAGAGGGTGATATATATATATATGTGTGCTTAGATTAAACCACAAAATACAAAAAATATGATATTCTTCAGGGTAATTTAGTTTTCTTCCTTCAAAATCCATTTGTATGAATAAGAGGTCTCTTATTACCAGTGCCATTGTGAAAAATTATATTGTGTTAGGTTTTGTACTCTTCAATCCCTACTGTCTTGTGAGACAACTTTTCACAACATAAGGGATGGACCACTAACAAGATCAGACAGCAACTGATGGGTGTCACGGGATATCAACTGGTGACGCACAGAACTAAATCACTGCAGCAAAGCTGTCCATTTCATCTGACATTGTTCTAGGAGTTAGATATTTAAGGGTTTCATGAATTTTGGGGAAGCGTGTAGGAGATGTTGTAGGTGGTGTACATGTCAGGTAGGACTCTACAAGTCGCTCTCTCCATACAGAGCACTGGAGAAGGAGATATAATCAAGGGCGCCTGGGGGAGCATCACCAACATTGTACTTGGTCATGCGGATGATACAGTACTCAGCTTGTTCTGGGGGCAGCTCCCTCCTCAGCTCCTCCACTGTAATGTATGCCTGCAGAACATAGTAGAAACAAATGAGTGCTTAGACAACAAGAGCCGTGTTTAGCATATTCTCCAAAAACATACATAGGTTCTTTTAGTGGCTCTATTAGTTTGTAATTACCTTGTCAGAAGCCAGGATCTTGAAGGAGGCCGTGACTTGTTCAGCAGTGTCTGTCTCGGCTGTCTCCCTGGTCATGAAGTCAATAAAGGCCTGGAAGGTGACAACTCCTGTGTTGTTGGGGTCCACAAGTGTCATAATGCGTGCAAATTCAACTTCACCCTAAAAAATTAATGGAAGAGTTCATATAAAACAAAGCTGATTTTGCTTCCTTGTGTTTCTGGATTATTGTAAAACTACAAAAAAGATGTCAGAGTCATAATCTGACCAGGAATAAATGCACTCACCAGATCATAACCCATAGAAATCAGGCAAGCACGGAAGTCATCAGGATCCATCATGCCATTCCTCTTCTGCAAATAGAAAAAAATAATGTGCTTATTCTACAGTTTGATAAAGTTGCATAACTTTGCTTATTCAAAGATGAATCCAAACACTCCATGTATTGCTAACCCGGTCAAAGTGGTTGAAGGAGGCTCTGAACTCGTTCAGCTGCTCCTGGCTGATGCCCTTGGCATCACGGGTCAGGATCTGGTTCTCAATCTCGTTGATCGTGCGGGCGATAGTGGTGAGGAGCTGCTCCCATCCCACATGCACGTGCTAAAATAGACATAATTGGAAAATAGGAATCATGCCTTTATGGCGAGATTAAAGAGACTTGGAAGTTTAATTGCATAAGACACTTTACCTTAATGACACTTGAAACTTCAAAGAGAAAATAAATTTCAGAATGAATTGAAAATAGCTGGTTGTCAATACCTCCATAGTGTAGTTGGTGTGCTTGTTGTCAAAGATAAGACTCTCCTGGCTGAGTTGGTGGTCTCCTTCCAGCGTGTCTATATTGGATTTGTAATTAATAATGTTCTGTTCATATGTTTTCAGATTGCTCATCTGTTCCTCTAGAGAACCAACAATATCAATTGACACATGGCTGATCTCCTGTTGAACAAAAGGAAGATCATTTCAGTTTTAGTCTTTTCATACTATGTGACATGTAGCTACTGTGAGTGAGGTGTATGGTGAAACACCTCCATCTTGATCTGAATCCAGGGTCCAATGATATTGGCCTGAGCAGCGAATTGGCGTCTCAGCCTTTCATTGGACTGCTGCCTGGCTACTTCCTCCTGCAACATCTGGTCACGCATTGGGACCAGTTGCTTCACCTGTTGTTAGGAAGGAAGCAACATTCCTCAGTTAAGAAGCTGAAATGACTTCTCCTAGCTCAAAGAACTCAATGCATTGAGCCATTGTTCTTGCTGATCAAGCTGAAGTGGTCAAATAAAGATAGTAAAGTACTTACAGCTTCCCATTTGTTGCTAATATCCTGAGGAGAAAGGACAGTGTAGGGATTCTCGCCCACTACCTTGATCCCATATGTCTGAGCTATCTTCAGGATCTCGTTATGAATGCCCATGATGGCCATGCGTTCCTTATCAGCTTCTGGTATGGTGGCCTTGAATTGGTCATGGGCTGTGATCAAACTCTGAGGTTGACAATAGCAGGAAAGAACAAAATGATGTTAAGACATGGTGCGTAAGTAGACAATTGAAAGATGGTACAAAAAAGGAGTCTATTACAGAAGAACAACACCAACGTCCTTCTCCCATAACAGACTGATAAGATACTAAAGCCGGTACACAATGTCATTGAAGAAGATAAGCACTCATTCAAGCATTCAGTGTTTGTATTTCACCTGAATCTCCTCAATACTGTGCACAATAAACATGTCCTGCAGATCTTCCATAGCTCCGTCCATCCAGTTGTTGAAGGGTGCTGCCCGCTTGGC